AAAAACGTGTTGTTTGTTGTACCATCCTTTCATTATCTCGTACCTTCCCCTTCTTTCCCCTTCTTTCGTCAAGGTTTTTGGTTTCCGTTCCAGGCCTTAGCGTCCCAGCTGGCCGCCAAGACCGAGGAGGCCGGGAAGTTCAGAACCAATTTTCTGGCGCCGAGTCAAACCGTTTATGCAGCAGATGGGACTTCAGCAGATATCAAGGTCATTCATGGTCATTCAAGATCTAGAGATGATCTGGCTGGTGGTTTGGAACATGAAATTTATTTTTCCATATGTTGGGAATAATCATCCCAACTGACTGATATTTTTCAGAGGGGTTGAAACCACCAAGCAGTGATCTATAGCCTAAGAAACAGAATTGGGAAATTCACAAAACCAAAAACTGTTCAGAAACCAGCATCGAATGATGGACTTCCGCGTTGTAAGACTGGGAAGCCCAGGTTTTTCATGCACTTATGGAGGGTTATTATATTTGAAGCAACCATCCGACCGGTGCAGTTCCAGTGAACTATGTACAAGAACGATTTAGTATTATAATACTGAAATATATAATGATCTGATATGTATATAATATACATAACCATAGGATACAATAGTTATCTAGGCAGTTATATCCATTTCTATCCCAACTTATGAGAATTTAAATGCAGGAGCTTTGCTTCAGCCGCCGCAAAACAACCCAATAGCTTTGCACATGTTTGGAAGATCATGTGTATATTATATCTAGATTAGATATGATGATATGATTAGATTCGATTAGATTAAATTACATAGATTTACCGTAATTAGATTAGATGACACATGTCTTTTAAGCAACCAACTGCCGCTGTTTTTGTGTCAGTTCCATCACTTGGATTTGGGTTCTGATGAATCCGAACGGCCTATGGCCGGCCCTTTCGGCCATAGTTTGCATGGCCCTTTCATAACATTTTTGGGGTGGTTACCCTCTGGTAAACTAACATAACTATGGAAAATCACCATTTTCAATTGGAAAATCCACTATAAATGGCAATTTGCAATAGCTATGTTATATTACCAGAGGGTAGCAAACAAGTTTTTTGAGCTTTCACATGCTTTTGGTGTCTTTGTATAGTTTGTCCACATTTCTTGTGATTCTTGTGTGGGTCAAGAGTGTCAAGACTTTCCTAGAATTCAAGGGAATATCATCTATATATACATTACATTCTATACGTACATATGTCCAAGAATTGTCCATGATACTTGTAAACCTATGGGGCTTTCTGATATCTGGACGTCAGTTTACCAATGGCCAACGGCAAAAACCTGAGCTACGCGCCAGGTGAAGAGCCATATGCGCAGGCAAGAACAGGGTACCTCTAAATCTAGTGGTCCCGTATTTTCCCGTATTTTCCCACATTTTCCCTATGACATGGCCCATTTTATGACCGATTCAGCGCCTTCAGACAGACGGGTATAGATCGTGACATGTCAACGGATGGAATTTAAGGGAACGCTTATGTACTATATGCATCTATATAATTCTCTATATATATAATTCTATATATATATATATACATACTATATAATCCACGTCAGGGATTGTCGAGAAAGATTGCCTAGAAGTCATTCTGGTGGTTTCTTCGGGAGATGTTCAAGAATGTTTCTTGGGGATTCTATTAATCGAGATGGAACACCTTTTATGGTAGCCAAATTGAGGTCAGAGCCATCAGCATGTAGAAACTGGTTGATGAATAAACAAACTATTAAACACATGGTTTTCTTTAGTTGAAATTGTAAATTACAACCATTGCTGCAGCTGCTACTACTACCATTACTCCTCCTACTGGTATAGCTGCTACTGCTGCTGCTGCTGCTGCTGCTGCTTGCCACCATACCACCACCATGCTTGCTACCTACTACACCTCCTTGCACCCCTTCCTACTACTAACTACTAACTACTAATTACCTAGATCTACCTAGATCTACCTACTATTTCTGCCTACTTCTACTACCACCACCACCACTAGTAGTAGGATTGGGGGAAGTCAGTGGTTGAAAATTGCCATTTGGCGTAGCTGCATGGTGTAACCATGCTCGAATTTAGTTAATCTCAAGTTGAATCTTATCCCAAACGTCACAGTAAACATTTACAGATTTCAGATTTGGATGTTGCCATATTTGCATCTGAACTTGAGGGTCGCATCTGAACTTGAAATAAAACCTTTTAAACGATGGAACAAATACATTGGGAGGGGTCAGATACATTATATCACCATATTTGGGAGAATATCCATCCATTCACCAGATCTTTTGCCATTACCGTCCAGGTGCCAGGATTTTGACTCATAGCCACAATGAATGGTTTAAAAACACATCGGCTGCCAAATTCGGAGGGCTACTGGGCTTGAGGAGGAGAATTTGACCTTGCTACGCAAGGTGTGTCCGCGGAAACGATTGATTTTACACGGAAAAATATAGGGGTTGTATGGCTATGGCTATAACGGATATGTCATGCCCAGGGATCCCTTGTGGGATACCAAGGGTGAGACTTGTCTCCAAGTCAACTGATTCCATTCAATTCTACTCTGTTCATGTGTGTTCCGAAAACGCAGTTTTGTTGCTGTCGGCTGTTGCTGTCCTTGTTACTGTTGGTGTTGTTGTTGTTGTTGTTGCTGTTGCTGTTGCTGCTTATGTTGTTGCTGTTGCTGTTGCTGCTTATGTTGTTGCTATTGCTATTGCCGTTGTTGGTGGTGTTGTTGTTGTTGTTGTTGCTGTGTTGTTGTTGCTGTTGCTGCTGTTGCTGTTGCTGCTTATGTTGTTGCTATTGCTATTGCCGTTGTTGGTGGTGTTGTTGTTGTTGCTGTGTTGTTGTTGCTGTTGCTGCTGTTGCTGCTGTTGCTGTTGTTGTTGTTGTTGTTGCTGTTGCTGTTGCTGCTTATGTTGTTGCTATTGCTATTGCCGTTGTTGGTGGTGTTGGTGTTGTTGCTGTGTTGTTGTTGCTGTTGCTGTTGCTGCTGCTGCTGCTGTTGTTGTTGTTGTTGCTGCTTATGTTGTTGTTGTTGTTATTATTGTTGTTTCAATCCCAATTCTGCTCGTTTCAATCCCCTTGTCGATGGATAAAGAAGGCCATTGAATTGAATTGTTGGTTAAACATCCCAACATGATTTGCAACTCAAAACATCGGTGGTTGGTGGTTTTGACAAGTGATATTTAAGCATTGTAGGAAGATGATGATGCACTTTATCAAAAACCCTGATGGTTCGGCTGCCGAGATTCCTATGTGTTATACAATGTTTTGGTGGGCGTACTGTAGAGATGTGCACACGCTTCATAATTGATATAATTGGAATACCTCCACAGTTTGTGGTAGACAAAGGCATTCTGCGGTTGAATTGGGTGTATGGACTCATGGAACAAAGATTTGTTGGGGTTTGCATTCCCCAAGAGGATGAGTTCACGTGGATGCCACCAACAAGCTCCAACCTATATACCACGCGTACACTTAAACGATGGCCCTCTTTATTCCAAGATTTTCTGGAAGACCATCCGATCATCCCATCCAAATCAGCCAATTGAACAGGAGTATAGCATCCAACAAATGCGGGAAAAGGTCGAATCCGACTGAAATGTCCTAGCAATTCCTAGTGGTCACTTCAACCCTTGCATTTTCATTTGGGTGTTACACAAGGTACACCAGCGCTCTCCTTTCCAGCCAGGCGGATCGGGAGAAGGAAATGTTCCAAGCCGAAATCGAGCGCCTGAAGCTGGAAATTGAGAAGGCACCAAGGGGTGGTCCGTTTTTTTTTGGGGAAGAACACCAGTATCACCAGTTTAGTCTGAAAATAAATGATGGTCAAAAAACGTCAAAAATGATGTTGTATGTTGAAGCATCAAAGAATGAATATACAATATATTTTGGTGATGTATGTACTCGTACATTGTTGTGAACATGTCCTGATTTGAGGAATTAGTTTGCCCGCATCTGCGCTCATTATGGTGATTTTAACCACCAACATGGATTTGCCATTATTTATTGATGGTTAAACTTTCACCATCAATAAAACTATGAAGGGAATTGAACACTGAAAGATGGGATAGTCTAGGTCAAATTAAATTTGTGTTGCGACCGTGACCAACCGAGCTCTACAAATGATGGTTAGCATAAGCTTTGCTCAACGGTTTCTACTTTCAAATAGCCATAGATGTGTTTGATCAAGAGGGCCGGTACCAACATCTTGAAGAACCAATTGGTACCCATGTTGGGTCTGCGATCGATGGGATGATACCCGGCAATGGTGGAAACACTGAAGAAATCTCAGGTTGTCAGGATTTCACAACAAACCTCCATTGCTGCATGCCCATGTCCGGTAAAAACATATAAACATGTTCCTTCTTAGGTTTACAATGGTTTACACCATGATCTGAAAGCCATTTCCTGACTTGAGAGGATCCTTCAGGAGTACATGGCTGGCCCAGCTTCAGCCGTGTTTGTTCTGCCGCAGCTTTCTGCGAATCACCGCGCCCTGGAACCGCGTTCCAGCGTCCGAAAAAAAGCCGCCCGTTTTCGTCGCCAAATTTCACCATGGCCACCGAACAGAAGAAGAGCTGGACTCAGAAGTTGAGGATGGGCTAACAGTGAAGGGGTCACATGATTGGGATGGACATTGTTCTATGGCTATCTTGAGCGGCACCCAAAAACCCAAAAAATCTACTCACGAAGAGAACTGAACGGAACAGGTATATAATCCATCAAAAAGCACCCCTGCCAAAAAAAGATAGAGTCGAATCAAATCCAATTCTAGCATATAGTGATAAATTGGACATGTTCTGCATCTTATATACCCTCTAGTAATCAAACGTGAGAATGGAAAATCCTACATTTATAGATGATTTTCTCAGCTATAAACCTCTATTTATATAGGATTTTCCAGCCAGCCACGTTTGATATTCCAAAAAGTTGGACTGACAAACATTCCATTGATTTTCCATTCATATTCCCATTATTATCCCAGTCACATATCCCATGAATTTTCATGTGTCTATATATTTTGGACAATTTCTTCTGGGCAGAAAGGGACACCGGGACACCATTCGCCAGGAGCTTTGGCAAGAGCACCAGCAAGGAGACCAATCAGGACCCCTCCCCCTCCTTTTTTTTTGGGAAACGCAGGAACGCAAGATCCTTATTTTCACTACAAAGTGAGACCCCCTAGTTAGAAGTTGGTTTATAATCGCATTTATAGATAAGTACAGATTGAGTATAAATAGTAATGATCCCATTTATACCTGATATATCCACCATAAATCCAAAGTGTCCTACTTCTTGTAGTTAGCTATGGGCCGCACATGGCAGGAGAAGGCCAAGGAAAGCGTCAGCGAGGCCAGCACCGCGGTGCAGGAGACGGCACAACAGGCGTCCGAGGCCACTCAGGAGACCTGTCCACGGGGACCATGGGACCTCAGCAGATTTCACACGGGACATCATCATGCTCAATTGTGATAGTATAAATTTGATGAACATTGTATAAAATGACATAAAATGATATAACATGATATATAATATAATATAATATAATGTAATATAATATAATAGAATATAATATAATATAATATAATATATATATAATGATATGATACTACGATATAATACTGTAATGTGTCATAGTTCATCAATGCTAATCACAGTTATAATCATAATGACAATAGTAATGATAATAATAATAATGATAATGATAATGATAATGATAATGATCATCATCATCATCATCATCATCATCATCATCACAGTGATTGCAATTTACCAATGTGGATCTCAGAAAAAGTCATCAAATGACATTGCTGCAGGAGGCGGTACAGCAGGGTGTGACGAGCGCCCAAGAGACAGCGGAAACCGCGGCAAAAAGCACCAAGGACAGAAGCAAAGACGGACAGGAAGAACCGGAAGACGATTGGAACACATATTTGAAAGCGGGAAACAAACATGGATACTTTTTTTTCTTGGACAAACATCGGATTCTAGATATATCTTGATTGTTCTTGATCTAGTTTATTTGCGCGGAGATGCAGCCAGGTAGCTACATATGCAATCATCCTGAAGTAGATAGAATCAGATAGAAGATGGAATTCTCAAACAGTTTTCCTGATTTTGCTTCTATTAGGACGACTATATTGCATACATAAGGTGTCTTAAGTCATGATGGAACCCCAAGTCACCACGTACCAGGATGCGATGAACAAGACTTCCACTCAGGAGACGCCACAGGCAGGCTGCCTCGATGCGGGTCAAAGCCTGGGTTCCGTGAACATCAGAATTGCGCGAAAATGATGGAACATGGTATTTGTAGGTCTTGAGCTACAGCCATATTGTTTTATTATGTACATATTATATATATATACGTATATACAATATATATATATATATGTGATATATGTATATTATAGCAACCCCCAATAAGATGCATATTAATAAAATCCTACATAAGATAGTGGCTTAGTGGTAAATCTTTATACTTTTTTCATCTTATCGAGAGCGATGATGATCCATGTGCCAGCTATTGACCATCCATTTTGCCTTGAGAGTTCTGAGAAAAACTGACCGTTTCTGACCATCTTCCCTCAATTCCCAGTGAAACATGGGGTATTGACTTGAAAGACTCAAGTTACTTAAGGTTCAAGCGACCAACCACTGTGGTTCTTCAGTTTTTCGTAATGATTCATTGTTCAGTCAGTTGTCATTCGCACATGTTGACCCAACTCCATGGGATAGGAATGACCTTGGTGCCCCATCAAGAGCTGCAGCTTTTTTCACAGTATGGGTCAAGCCCTGGGAGTAGCATTGACGCAAAAAAGCTCCATTTGAGCATGGTTGGAATCCCACCATTTTTGTTTTATTGAGAATTGGTCCATGAGTTTTTTTTTGATTATTGGATTTTACAATATTTAATTATTTTCCCCATAATCATACCATTCAACATATCCTAATTATCCCATCATGGTTGGTCGCATGTGCAATTATTGGTTTATAACATATACGTCTATGCCTACCAAAACATCAATATCCATTGAATTGGACATATCCCAATAATCATCTTATAGTTGTTCTAATAATCATCCCCATTTACTAAGTATGGTCATAATGCCATCCGGTCATCAAGCATGGCACTGGAACTCCCCCATGAGAGTTTTGTTTTTTCCCCGCAGCTATAAACATCCTTTTTTGTTTGGTATTTTCCAGCTAGTCACGTTTGATGGATTATGTAATTATTATTGTAATCGTTAGGCATTTTATATTCATTATAATCGCAAACAACATCCTTCATTTAATCATTGATATCCCATATAGATAGTCCATTTAATATTCCATTAATGGGATATCAATGATTAAATGAATCCTATTAATGGACTATAAATGGACTATGACTATCATCTAATCCATTAATATTTAATATTAATAGTGGGATATCACTATTCCATTAATATTAATAGTGGGGACATCCCATTTATCATTGATATCCCATTAATATTCCATTCATAGTGATTAGTCCCCATGAATCAGGTCATTTTGACAAAAATCCTCGTTGAAATTCGTTGAATCTCTTTTTCAGGACCTTGGCATTACCTTCTCAGACGAGCCCACCCTGGCCCCTGCTGCCACCACGGCGCGGTCAAACATGTTGGACAGTTGTTCTGCAAAAATATACCCTTTGGTAAACGTTTACATAACTATGGAAAGATCCACCATTTTTAATGGGAAAAAACTCACATAACTATGGAAAGATCCACCATGCTATTAATGGGAAAACTCACTATTTCGACTGGGCCATTTTTTCAATAGCAACTGTTAGTCATTACCAGAGGGTAGTGATTCAAACTTGGGTAAACACGTTGGAACGATTCTTGACCAGTGCTATGTATACATACTGGTATTTTTTAAGGTTGCATACAAGTTTTCTCAATTGTTCATAGTTCAACGTCTTGATATTCTTGATATTTATGATAGTTAAAGCATGTCAAAGCCCCAATTGTTCACCCTCCCGGCATTTTTTTTGCGGTCCGAACAGGCGCCCGATGTGGTGCCAAGTCCTGGTGACATGCCGGCAAGCTCGATGCCCACGTCCAGCACCTCATGGCTGGATCAGGTGAAGGCGCGGTTGTTTTTTTGGGCATTTTGCTCTGGGAAAATGGCCCATAGAAATAGATGGTTTACCTGGGTTTACCTATTAATAGCATGGTGGATCTTTCCATGGCAAACTGTTAGTCATAACCAGATGGTAATACTGATTGATGGTTTGGAACATGATTTTGTTTTTTCGATATATTGGGAATGTCATAACCCCAACTGACGAAGTCATATTTTTCAGAGGGGTGGCTGAACCACCAACCAGTAATAGATTGGGTACGAATGGTTAAGATACAGGTTAAGGATCAACTTGGCATTTTCTCTGGGAAAATGTATGGAAGAATTATGGAAAAATCATAGCTATAGATTGGTTAAGATATGGTTATAAGATGAAAAATCTGGAACCATTAGCGTGAAGTTGGGATGTGTTATATGTAAATTACGCTGCGATTCGCAGATGGATATATTGGTTCACTATCATGGGAAACCATCGATAGTTATGGGGATACAAGCACCAATATGGGACTTCGAAGTCTATATGGTTCTAATCGATATAGGGATGGGTCACACGCTATGAAATTACCACCTGACTGGAGGAATAGTCATCCATTAACCAGCTATTTTAGTCTACCAGTACCTAGGGTACACTGTATGGGTCTGTCTGAACATGTGGTATACCGGTATATAGCCTTCTTTATGGGGTAAAGTATGAGTAACCACCGGATTTAGAGGCTTTAGAGGTACCATATTCTCATATAATTCTCAGACACAGCCATATCATATAATTCTATGGTTCTGAGGGATATGCACACTATGAATCATCCATCCGTTGACCTTTTGGTTTTTACCACCTTTCCAATTATAGGGGACCCTTCTTGCAGGCAGTTATAGGCGGTTATATCAACCATCATTCAACCATCATTGAACCATCGTTCAACTATCTCATTCAACCATCATTTCACCATCATTCAACTTCAACCATTACATACATACATGCATGCATGCATACATGCATACATGCATACATGCATACATGCATACATGCATACATGCATACATGCATACATGCATACATGCATCCATGCATCCATGCATCCATGCATCCATGCATCCATGCATCCATGCATGCATGCATGCATGCATTCATGCATTCATGCATACATGCATACATGCATACATGCATACATGCATACATGCATACATGCATACATGCATACATGCATACATGCATACATGCATACATACATACATACATACATACATACATACATGCATACATGCATACATGCATACATGCATACATGCATACATGCATACATGCATACATGCATACATGCATACATGCATACATGCATACATGCATACATACATGCATAATGGCATAATGTATATAATATGTTTGATCCATGACTCCGTTGTCCTTCGATCCACCAGGAGGGTCTTCATCAAGGATTCACGACCGTGAGCCAGAAGACCATGGAAGGTTCCGGTGTTGGGAATGGCCTGGGAAGGGCCTGGGAACTCCCAGAGATTTGGGCGATCTTTTTGGGGGGATGGACGTCTGCCAGCTATTCTGATCTTTAGGGACAAAGGATCAAGTCCCCAGATGTCCCCAGAAAGAGGGACCGGGGGTTCTTTGCAAGAAACATATATATATAATAATATATATATATATGATTATATATATATATATGATTATATGATTATATATATATAATTATATATATAATTATATATATATAGCATCACCAAACATGAGCAACTAACGAGCATTTAACGACAGATTTTAGTTTGAAACATTCCCACCGAAATAAGGATTCATGTAGGCATAACATTTTTGTTCAGTTGATGGTATGCGATAAAATCTAAGCGATCATATGGATAAGCACCACACACTGTTTTTATATAAATATATTTATAAATATATTAAATGATTATACATGATTATTATCCTGATTTTTTTTCAGTGAATTCAGATAGACCCCGCCTTATTTTTGGGCTTTGGGAACTTATGATCACCACAACTCGCGTTCGCCACGATTCGTGGGGATGATCCTCCAAACAGAAAATGATGAGGGTTGGTTTACCAATCCCTTTCAACATGTTTAACGAGTTTGTTATATCCCGCATAAGCATGCATAAGCCATATACATCCATATACTTAATATTTGTTTGTCGAATTATAAGTCATCGAACTCAGGTCGATGCGAGCTATGTTTTTTTTTAGAACTCAGGTCGCATCCACCAAGTGATTTCTAAACTTACATTAAGTTACATCATTGTTATATCGCTGCTATATCCCCCATGAACTATAGCCAGAGAATTCACCCAGTTATATCATATCAAAAATTCTTCACTATCCCCTATCATCCCCTATCAACCTCTGTCATCCCCTATCATCCCTTATCAACATCCATAAACCATGGGTTTTTCTTCCAATGCCAGGCTATGAGGCCGCTAAGGACATGATGGGACCCAGCTCCAGCGACGGTCCCAGTTGGACGGAGTCGCGTGGCGGAAGCACCCTTGGGGTCATGGGGTCATCATGGGGTCATCATGGGGTTATCCATGGCCCCAGGGATTTGGAAAGTGGATGTATGATGTAACCTCCAAGAATCGTGGAAAAGGTAGTTCGCTACTCAGTTTTTTTGAGTTTTTGGGGCCTTTGTATGGATTTGTTGGTTTGTTCGACTTGTGTTTTTCGATTTTTTACTGGAATGGATGGGTATATAAGATATATAAGGCGAAAGGCGAGAGTGCCAGGATCAAAAACTGGCCCAAAATGGTCTAGATGGTCTAGTTTGTCTTGCAATGTTGCCACTGCAAAACCCTTCAAAGTCTTTTCAACTTGTGTTTCCGTTGGCGGGCAATCTGTAAAACGCCACTTCCTTGTTTTTAATACAATCCTCCTGTAAATCTTTATTACGAAATTTGCACACGGAAACATGATCATAATTCCTTGTTCCGATTGTTCTGGAGCGAAAGGGCGCCAAAGGTTCGCGAAAGGGCGGCGTAAGGGCAGTTTTGGGGCACCATAATTTTGAACAACCCTAATGTATATATGTTGCTTTACAGGAGAGTATTTGCTGGAATTTACATTTGTGGGATTGACCATTTCATAAACCTACAGCCAGGGGGAAAGAAAAACGATCATTACTTGTGGTGGGTTTTTTCTCTCTCAATGATTTGGCTTTTCAGCGACACAACTTGGGGATATTAAACAACAAAACTTACATTTTATGTAAACTATGAATCTTCAAAAATGATGGATTGGTGGAAAGATATACTTTTTCATAAAATATTGAAACGACGTCGTTTCATGTTTGACGGATTCGGGGAGGGATTATACAGGTACAAAAAATGTATAGTTGATGTTAAGATGTTAGTTAGATTTAGTAAGAACATGGTGAGAAACCATAGATCCATTGGATGTCTGATGTTTTTTGGGGTGACATTTTTTCAGGTGATTCCATAGGCCCTATACAGGGTAGGTACCTCCAATTTATGATGCATTCGTAGCCAACTCGATCAAGGAATCACTACACTGCCCAGCCTTTCAATTTGATGGCACCGCTATAGGGACCTTGATTTCTATTGTTTTTGGGAACCCAATGTTTTTTGGTTCCCTGTTGAATCCCAGGAATAACACCCACAACGTCATCAGTCCTCACATGTCCTCACCATCAATAAATAATGTTTGGCGACGGGAATCACCCAAATTCTTTGCACTGATGTCCAGTTTAAGTATTCTTACACAAAATCTGCCGAAAATATACAGATATATCATCCATTATCATCCTATCATCATTTTTGTCGATCATATTTTTTTTGGATCGTTCATATCGTTCATGTTGGATTATGATCACTGGATGATACGGGTATGGATCAATACCTATTAATTAATACCATTTTTAGTGGGATGAACATCCATAAATCCCAGCTATTTTGATGTGAACTACAGGGGATTCCATGGGTTTTGACACACTGCCATACATCAAATTGGTCAAAGCAGTGAATCAATTACTGTGCCAAGGACATTGAAGGACGGCCGCTTGGCTTGAACCCATGGTCGAAGAGTTGGAGGGTGGGAATACCCTGGGAAACCATGGGAAACCAAAATAAAGCATAAGCAGAGGTAATGGGGACGCATATAAAATCATATACATGATTCTATCATAGGTCATAGGTGATCAAAAAAAACGGGTACACCATTCCGATCCATTCCGTCCAAATTGCCATTTTTGGGTATGTATGCAGTTAGTTAGTTTTATACACACCCTGATATCATTTTAAGTTGGTTGGTTATATCCACTTAATGCCCCAACCCATTAGTCCAATTTCCCAAATATTAAACTAACGGCCTTAAGTGGTCCCAAATGAATGGTTTCTAGGGGTTGTTTAATGTATATATTCTAATAATTAGGGGAAGGGATCAAATAAATCGCCATTTAAACTCCATCAACATATTGCATATTGGACCACCGTTGGGCTTATCGCTTATCATTACATATATATATATATCTACACCACCATCAAATTATCATGTGAACCTTGGCCCTTCAACATTGGACTCGAACCTCCACGCGTGAGGCTTCCACCAGGGTGTGACGACGGTGACAGAGAAGACCAGCCAGGGATATGAAGCTGCGAAGGAGGGCCCGAGCTTGACCCGATTTGTGGGACAGGGTCATGGCTATAACATCTATTTTATAGGGAAAATCTATAGGGACATCAATTCATAATATGTTTTGATGGCTCCGCCAGGTGGCTTAACCTTGGCTTTAACATGTTTTAACATGGGCAAAAAAACATGCGGTCACAGAATGATTTTGGGGACCAAGGTCCACAGCACGGGAGTAAAACCCGGCCCAAAATGGAAACTGAACCAGGAAATATGCACTTTTGGCCAGCTTTGGCCATGTTTAGCCAACCATTTCACATCATTTCACCAAATTTCACCAAGCAACATGTTGATTGAATCACTCATGGCTCCAAGCAAACCATCCCGAAGACCCGAGGAGTACATGACCAGCTCATCGGCTCCGACTGTGGCTAGGGCGAGCGCACAGAATGAAGAGCCCAGCACCACTTCTACAACTTCCAGCTGGTCCGACCAATTCCAGAACCTTGGCCGCACCTGGCCGCTGTAGTCCTCCATGGTCCAGGATTCCAATGGATGCGAAATCGCGATCGGGGGTAGACTGTGTCAACATGGGAATGGATCAGAAGTTTCATTCGTATTTCAAGGACAAGGCAAGTTGGTCCCCGAGACTTAGCCTCAGAACGGAAAAATGGACACTTTGTGATGGACACGCTGACGGAGAATCTGTGGATGGGGAAGCCACCTCCGGTTACAAGTTGGTTTATAATCCCCTTGAACTATAAATATATCTACCATAAACCATGTGCATTGGAGTTATATTTACCAACTGGGGCACCACCAAACTTAATTAGGTCAAACTCCATGTATACATGATTTTCCAATATTTTCACATTATTTCATTATATCCCCACCATATTGCCACTAATGGAAAGAAAACACATCGTATCCCAATTTACAGATGTTCTGATGATATCCCCATACCATTGTTTACCACCATGGATCCCCTATTCTTGATGGTGAAATCCCGATGTTTCATGGTTAAATTGGCCTGTTCGATGGTTAAATCAGTGTTAAATCCTGAAATCCCCAAATTTGATCAAATTAGAGGATGACATCCCGGCGTTCCTCCCCCATGTCAGGTCTAGCTTCACCATGTGCCTCTCCACGGTGCAAGAGAAGACGCAGCAGGGCTACGAGGCTACTATGGAGTTCGTGGTGGGCAAGCACCTTTGTCACGAAGCGGTCATGGGGATGCTGAATGAGGTCGATTTCATGAGATTTTCGCCAAGTAAAATGGTGGTTGAACAGGATTTGATGGTGATTTAATGGTGGTTGAATGGGATTGAATTGGATTTCATAGACTAATCACAGGATTTGTTTATAGTCAATTTGGAGTGGATAGAATATGAGCATGTCAGAAAAGATCCACGCGAAAATGGGAATATCATTGAAACATCCATATTCTCTTTGCTTCAGGATGTTTACATTAACTTCGAGTCCCTCAAAAGAACAAAGGTCAACTTCTTTTGGGTTCCCCATCATTTGTTGATGTTGTTTACATCAGAGCAATAGTTTGAAAACAAAACAGCTTGTTCTGGATATTTTGAGTGGATTTCGCGAACCTATGGGGGACGCATTCTAAAAAAAAAACAGACGCCTTCCTACTTGGCGGCGAAAAAACAATGGAAAACCAGATGTCATTCTAAGTTCCAGTCCGGCGGTATAATATACATAACACAAAACAATTCGGTAGAACCCTTTAGGCAAATAATCAATGATCAACTGTATTTGAAAAAGGGTATAGTAGTGGAAATAAAGACGGTTAAACAAATATGAATATGGTTGGTTCATGGGGGGCCAAATTGTATAACATCACTTTGTGGTGATAGAAATTGGGTATGAAATAATCGGTGTTTGAATGTGACGTGTCAGGGTATCCAACTTGGTTATGGAGGATTCATAATGCATCATGTACATATCCAAAGTGGACATCAGGATGAATGGTCAGTAGCTTGGGAATGAGTACAATAAATCAACATAGATTTGGTAAAACCATGTAGAACCAATATTTTGCGACAAACATGATCCACGCGCGATTGTTTTTTAATATGTCACCTTTCTGGAGTCTAATCCCAAAAAGGAACAGAGACATGTTATTATGGAAGGTACTGATTTCATGGAGTGTCCCAGTCAACGATCCAAAAATTGTGTTTGGACTGCCTTCTTTGAAAGGCTACACGGTTTTTGTTGTCTGGCTGTGGTATTATCCAAATGAGAGCCTTTTTTAATCATTAGTCTTCGGTAGTATTTGTCGAGTCAAAACAGGGTGAGTGTGTGCGTGTGGCTGCACGCGCGGAAGGGTGTGGAAGCACCGCGGAAGGAAAGTTTCGCGGAAGTGTCGTGGAAACTATTAAAAAGCATCATAATACTCCCATAAGGTAGAAAAAAACATCCTCCACACCTAGGCCGCGGAAGCAAATCACCCGAACCTACCAACGCGGAAGCTCGTGGAAGCGATATATGAAGACATGAGCTCGCGGAAGCTACGTTTTCATCCGCGCAAGGTCTGCGGAAGCGTTGGCAGAAGAGGTTTGTTACGTCAGTGGAAACTAAGAAGGAAAAAAAAAACAACATTCAAATGGAATGTCCGACCACTCAAGATTGAATCCCACCCCACAGTCATGTCATTAGTCAACAGGATCATCCAGTTCGAATCCTTTCCCGTAATGAATACCTGAAAATCCCTGAGTATTGGATTTGTTCATTTTATGGTCCTTCTATGGGTAGTACCTAACAATTTTATACAATTTTCATATTGTCTGACTGAAATTAGGGTACCCCATTCCATCCACTGTTTCGTGATCATTTGCCTTCTTAAGAGGTCGATGTTGGGCATAAATCCACCATGTTCAGCCAACATATCATATATGAAGCTGCCTAGTTTCTATCTCCACTATGTGGATTATGTAGTCAGAAGATATAAAATCATATTCGAATTATTGATCCCATGAACATCCATGACTGGTTGGTGGTTTCAAACATTTCTTATTTTTCCATAATCATATGGGATAATCATCACCCCAAAACCCAACTGACGAACTCACTCCATCATTTTTCAGAGGGGTAGGTCAACCACCAGATGAAAATCATAGCAACCTCTGGTAATTTGTGACAGTTTGCTATTGAAAATGGCTATAGAAAGAGTGGATTATCCCACGAAAAATGGTGATTTTCCATAGCTATGTGGCTGTTTACCAGAGGGTATCCATGTAGCTTCCAGTTCGTTATGTGGCTGTTTACCAGAGGGTAGAACATCTCCATGAAATCCACGAAAAGTCGCAGGGTTTCCGGCTCCGGGTCCCAACGCCGAGGCACGAGTCCCCGACATCCACCATCGAGGTTGAGGTGGGAGATACAACCAGGGTTTATAAAGCAACAAGACCTGCGCCTCAGCTTATAGTGTGTTAGGTGTTTGTTAAATGTTTGCTAATGATGTTAATGTTTGTTGTTCAGCAGTTTTGAAGAGATATATATATATATATATCCTCGTTCTTCGGTTTTTTTGCGGAGGAGGATTTTCGAGAAGATATCTTGCTATTGATGTTTTGTGGTTCTGAAGGTCAGTGGGTTCATTTGAGGGAAAGTCAGAAAGTCACCCAGAAACCACGCTTCTTACCCCAATTGTATGGGCTTCCTGGGCATTTTGTTTCCATCAACAAATTCAGGGATAAGGGCTTCGTATACTGTAATAATTACTCCATAATCCTCCACAGTTTGCTTTTGTTTCCCAGAACTTGGGGAAGAATGTCAGCCCGGGATTTGTCTTAACTCTGGCTTTTCATAATTAGGGGCACCTCCCCATCAGCCCAGGGGATTCATGGGGGGTTGACATTACCTCTTGTTATGGCCGAAGTTCCAATTCTTGACATTTCGCACTCAGTTGACCCCTGCTGAAACATTGAAAGACGGGGTTAATGATCCAACGAAAAAGACGCTCGGAGGGACCCAACTGTTAGGGAACCCATTGACTTGACCCATACCCATACCAATTTGGATCAATAGGTGGGTGCAATCCATCTTGGCCATTCTGAGTTAATATTGGCATATGGCCAAAAGTGATTAGCAATTAGCACTATTGCTTGACAACTATTTTTGAAATTGGAAAATCAATAATGTCAAGCAACCAGTAGGTTTTGGGGCTTGATGGGAGAAGCATGGAGAAGCTTTGGCTCACATGAAATGAAACGACACAGCATGGGTTTCGATGATGACAATATATGGGTTTGTCCCAAAATAGGGTACCATGAAATCCATTGCGTAATCATTATTGTCCCCATATGAAAGTTGTCGTTAAAAAGGGGATAAATCATGGTAAATCGTCAATTTTCAGTCAAACCCATATGAGTCATTTTTGGCCAGAGTCCCACATGTTTATGGTTACGTCCCGACTTGTTGATAGTTCCATCACTATTGAGGCGATCAAATACCCAATCACCCATAGTTCTGCTTGTGCAGCTCCTCAGTTCTTGCCGGTGAAGTACAGTACTTAATCCATCTCAGCAATTAATCACCTCAATTTCAGTTTAAGTTAAATGTTCTATTTTTTTTTGGTGAAAATCGCAATCTTTTGTTCTGTGGCTACGTGTTGCTTAAAACGTTAAATCCCTTTTTTCAGTTCCCCATCCGTGGTGGACAACTGCCGGTGAAATCCCCTATCCTCTTTGCTGATATGCAATATTTTTCATAATTAGTCAGAATCAACATGTTCATAGTAAATAATAGTAAGTAATAGTTAGTATAGATATATAAATAATTTATACACATTCATGGTGATTATATCATATTATAATATATATTATACAGTATTCATGGAAACTCCACAGCTAGTGATAGCTTGTGATAGCCCAAGTTTTCCATGGTGAACTCTGTGAAATGTCCCAAGATATTTTTTTGGTGAACCCCGTGTGTTTTGCTGAAGCATCCAGCCAATTTTTCCTGGTAATTCCTAAGATCATAAATTCCTAAAGACATCTAAATATTATTTTCCTGCATCGAATTCCCAGTCCTAAGCTCACGAATCCCTCCATGGATGTGGGTCAAAATGGAAGACCTAGGGGACCACAGATGTTGGTCTAGTTTAGTATTAACCATTCAATTACATACCCATATATCTGGGTAAATTATAACGACCTCACTGCGACCTCACTGCGACCTCACTGGAATGATGGTTACTAAGGGGAATCATCCCAAAATTGCCTTATTTCAGATTAGTGAATTATTGTAATTTACCCATATGTATATATATTATTATTCTAAATGTATATGCATGCATGCATACGTACGTACGTACGTACATACATACATACATACATACATACAAATATATATATATATATATGTTCCTGCCCACAAAGCCTCCCCAAATCCCACGGTTTTGGAGGGCCAGCATGCTGCTTCCTCCGCAAGCACATCGATTTCCAAGGGCATTGAGGGCGCCAAGAGCGCCATGCAACAAGGACCTGGGTGTGTGAGTATAGTGAAGTTGTTTTCACGAGAGGTGAAGTGTATGGGTTTATAGAGGTTTATAGTGGCTTATAGTCATATAGAATATAAGAAAATTCCAGTAGTTGGTGGAAGTTTCAAAGATAGGACGCTATAGGAGAGGCGAGTTGTTATGATGAATGGATGGCAGAGCGAATCCACTGATGGACCGAAAGGTGGTTAGAGTTGTGTTTTTTGGGGTGGTTGCAATGGTTGCAGTGGTCACCTCGCCCACAGCTGCTGGATGTAGTTTGGTGTAGTTGCAGTTGCAGTTATAGTTGTGGTGTGGTAATAGGTGTAGCGTACTGTGATGTGGTGCAGTGTGCTGTAGTGTTGTGTCCTGTTGTGTAGTGTCGCGTAAAGTTAAGTAGGGTAGCTGAAGTTGCACAGTAGCTGGTAGCGGTAGTTGTAGTTAGTTTAGTGTGGTGTGGTGTGTAGTGTGGTGTATTGTCATTAGTGTAGCGTAGCGTAATGTAGTTGCAGTTGTAATTGTAGTTAGGGTAGTGTAGTGTAGTGAAGCATAATGTAGTGCAGTTGTAGTTGTAGCTGTAGGTGTAGTAGTAGTTGTAGTTGCAGTGGTAGGTGTGGTTTAACTAGTGTAGTATACTGTAATTAGTGTAGTGTACTGTAAATATACAGTGTAGTATACTGTAATTATACAGTGTAGTATACTGTAATTAGCGTAGCTTAATCTAGCGCGTATATTTGTAGTTGTAGTAGTAGTGTAGTGTAGTTGTTGTTGTTGTAGTTGTTGTAGTTGTCTATCGATCTGTCTGTCTATCTGC